AAGCCCACCCAGGGGTCACGTCAGTTCATCGGTCATTGTAGATTCTTCCTTGGCATCGTCGGCTAAGATCCCGTATTTCCCTTGCTCCCAAGCACTGGGATCTTAGGCGGAAACTACTGTAGTAGAGAATTTTTGGTTACACTTCACTTACTAGACTCTAGGAAATTACATGTAGGCCTATTTTGGTTTGCCGTGGGCGCCGTGGACTACACAGTGTGACCAAAATCAGTCTTACCACACTATTATAATCAATTGAAACTGAAACTGAGTTCTCAATGTATATGAATCTAACAATTTTTTAGGCTACCTAAATTTCTTTTTAATTTTTTGTGTGGTTTGCATTTAAGGCTACCTTGATTCCCAAAGGATTTGTTAATGAAGAATTCAATGCACATTTCCATTTTTTTTTGCTGGCCATTTTCATCAATATTATATTTTCTTAAGAGCAACTTTGTCTTTACATTTTCCAATTTGGATACTTTTCCTACTTTCCGACCTCTAGGACTGACTTACATTTGATCATAATATTGTCTTGCTCAAACAAGTTTTATCCATAATATCACTTACTCACTAGTTACGTCTGTTTGTTTGCTGGTTTTTTTTTTTCAATTTCACGGACCATTTCCACCTACTTTCAGTGCGTATATTAAATGCGTTGTATACTGTTTACATTATCAGTAATAAATGGCCGAATTTGTCAAATATACTACATATGTTATTCAATATGATGTCTTGCATTAGCACTGAAGTGTTTTATCATTTTTGCAGAAAGTACTCGAAATGTACTCATACATACTTTTTTAAAAAGTACTTGTGGCTGTTTATATGCTGTTCTAATTTTGATTTCATTCTGTTTTGAAACCAGTATTTTTTCAAGTTTTTACACTCCGATTGGCTCCAAATGATATTCTGGATGCTTAAAACAGAGCAAAAGAAATTCTGGTGCATTAGATTAAGTTATCTCAATCAACATATTGCTATACGTCGTCACAGAGAGTTGAAAGCTTGAAAATGAATGGCAACTTTTATGGTAACTTTTGGACAAAAAAATGGCAACAAACGCAGATGCTAGACTATGTCTCATTATAACCCCCAAAACTTGCCTGTCACTTCTAATGGCAGAAACAAAGGCTTAGTCATTACTAATAAACTTGGTTTGGGAATAGTTCGAAAAAAAAAAGTCAAAACAAGTAAAAAACTAGCACTAAATAAAATTAAACAGTTGTACATAGTATCGGTCGCTCAAAGCGTCCGATGGGGTTTAAAGAGTTAAGAATAAAGAAAACATGCACCAGCAATTCATTCATTATTTTATGTTTATTTGTTCACTGACATTATTAAAATAAGACAAATTTTAAGTTTCTACAACATTATCAGTACCACAGAGTAAATCAACAGAATGGTCAAAAGTTTTCAACATATTACATCATTATTGTTAGTAAATAAAGCATGTTTGAAAACCATTGCTAAACAATGATAGAATACTTTCATATCATGAAATAAAGATAAGTTAGATTTTTTTTTAAAAATCAGTGTTTGTGCTGCCATTTTCAATAATTTCAGCAGTAATGTACAAGTTCATGTTATAAATAGCAAAAGGCATTCTTACTACAATAACAATCTTGAATGATATATAATGTTAGTTTAACATAAGAATGCCATGTTATTTCCAACAATTGATCTCAATTTTTCTTCAACAAATCAAATTAAATTTGACACACAGTTGTCTTATCATTTACAAAGTAGAATTTTTATTTCAGCACATTAACTATTTTAATCAAGTTGTGGGAGTGGTGATTGCAGTCAATACGAATTCTGTGAATCAACATGTTCAGTTTCGATACAATTTCATTTAAAAGAAACAGTTAAAGAACTTAAAACAGATTTAAAATTGCACTTATCGTCTGCTGACAAAACTATAGAAAAGCCTCCAAAAATTTGGCTTGATCAACCCCCCTTCCCATGTTCTCATCCGAATTTCATTCCAACTTCACATTAGAAGAAAACTTAAAGTCCTTGATAAAGAGGGTGGGTTTAAAAAAAAAAAGTCATTGTGATGATATTAAGTGGAGCACTGCATTGAAACTGAAGCACTGATTGGCATTTCAATTCCACAGGCTTAAAATAGAACCTTTTAATATAGGAACTCTCTGGGCATATTGTTTTCTGTAGCTTTCGTAAACGGGAAGATAATATGTAATAAATGCTGCCAATCATTATTATCAAGTGCCATATCTGCGACAGACATTGGCAATCATGGTTCTCATTCACTCCTTTGCTCGGATATATGTTCTTAAAAACAGGACATTTCCCTGATCTTTCCCCCTTATCCACCTGTTTAGGTACATGTACTCCAAGTATTTTGTTCTGGGCCTACCCCTGCTTCGTTGGCCTTTAATTTTACCAGAAAGAGCTTGATGTTCAAAACGTTTATATCTATTCAGGTGTCCCCAAAACTGCATTTGTCTTTTCCTGATTGCTTTTATCAGTGAGCGTCCCATATATGTGGGCTTCTTCAAGTACCACCTCATTTGATTTCTCTTTCTTCCAAGATACTCTTATAGCAGTCTTCTAAGAAACCACTTTTCTGTTGCTTCCATTTTATTTTCACTGTCTTTAGTGATTGTCCATCATTCATAGCCATATCTAGAAGGATTGACTGATTGACCAAACACAACATTTCAGAACTTTCATTTTAGTCATTCAGATGTTTTTATTTTTCAGGATTGGGCTCATCCTTAGCCATAGCAATTCTTTGAGGGTTTTTTTCTGTGGAACATTTGGGGTCAGATGTTATTATGTACCCCAGATATTTAAACTGTTGAATTTGTTTGCCAATAATCAGGGCGAAATGAACGGTTGGAATGGGACTCTTGTAGGTCCTACTTCTTTGCTCAGCCTCCAATCAGTCCGTCTAGTTCCTTCCTTCCTTCCTGTGCTGCACAGCTGTTACATGTATCATAATATATTCATAAATATATATATAATATAATGTGATACATTATATCAATGTTCTTGTTAAATGAGTTTGAGCAATGCCTCCCCCAAGGCATTAATGCTAGGGCTGATACTCATTAGTGCAATTTAAAGAAAATCTTTTGAAAGTGTACAATAACACTAAACTTCACTGATAATTTGGAATGGTTGGATTCTTTTACTACGAGCTAAAAATAAAACTGGTTTTGTGGAAAACTGAAAAGAAAACATAAACAACCACCTGTGAGCAAAGAGTAGGACTTGTAGGCCTATACAACCTTGACTTGTGAAGCCAGTAGAACTATTTCCTAAGGCAGAGATAATTAATTTAACTTTCCCTGAACAAACATGGTCAGCAGACATTTTAGGAAAAAAAATGTCACAGTAAATGACCTGGAGTCTGATTGAGTATTGAACAATTCATGATACTAATTATATATGTAGCCTACCTGTCTTCTTTCTTTAGAGCATTTTTTTTTCATTTGATCAATAGTCAAAAAGAAATTCTTCAAGTAAATTGAGGACTCTAATTAATCTTTGATTGACCAATCTTAAAGGGTTCAATCCTAATAACTCTTTTTCAAACTACAAATTGACTATCTTCTTGATCATTCTGTTTCAAGACAAAATTTGTGTCTGATTCAGGATCTGAGGGGTAAAAATCTGTAATGGTAAATAAACTTTTATTAAATACCTTGATCTGAATTTAATTGTAATTTTTTTTCCAAATACAGTACTGGCTTTTATTCTTCAAGATATTAAAACCTCAACTTAAAAATCTGTTCAGTATATGCAAGTGTACAGAGTGGGCGCCGACGTGACGCTGAAGTGATGAGTAAGCGTTTATGACTCATTTTTTTGATGTCTACACATTTTATTTACAAAAAGACTGTGCGAGGCCTGCTAGAGTGCAGGAGCAACGCGTTTGTGACGAGGACATATTAAAAAATGTGCCATGAGTACACTAGAGTTTGTACTAAAACTTCAGGTGGCAGTCGTCAAAATGCTGCTAGATCTAGGTTTATATAGTGTGGTCAAAAATTCGTGGCACAATATTTTATCCTCAAATATTATTCTCTTTAAAGGGTGAATCAATGTCATCCATACTTTGCACAGCAGTTGTATCAATTTGTCTTAACTTAATCATATTTATTCACAATAATAGACGCTAGATAAAAAAAACTTCTTCATAAATTTATTTAAATTATTACAAATCTGCGTCACACGGAAAATGGGATTGTTCACAGCACTTCCCACTTCTCACACACATTTGGCATATATGTATGTATATGGCCTACGTCACAGTTCACCAATGACAATTTTTAGTGACAATTACTAATTAGAGGAAATTAATTTTATAGTGAATGCTTTTTGCACTTAAGGTTCGTAAAACATGCATTCAATAAGCATACTGTTGCAATTAGAAGAAAAAAAATCGGACTTGCTTTTAAAAGCGCTATTGTCCCAACTGTAAACCTTTTAAAATTTGTAGAGAAACCACACATGTGGATAACTTGAAAACGACAGATGTACGCCATTGGCCAATATTTATAGTAACAGCCATCTTGTTTGACGTCATTGAAGAATTCCCAGTTTGTGGTCATTCATGGTGGCAACACAACTGAGGCTCGAACCTGGACTTTCTGCTTTGGAGACAAGCCCACTAACTGCTCCGCCACCACGTCACTGTAGGCTACAGGTTTTAAAAATACTGCAATAGTGCTTTGCGGTCATGTTGCCACCGTGAACGACAACAAAGTGGGAATCCCACAATGACGTCAAACAAGATGGCTGTTACTATAAATATCGGCCAATGGCATACATCTGTTGTTCTCAAGTTATCCACACGTAGAAACCACTCACAGGGATTTTTGATAAGCATTTATTAAGGGATTTTCTAGAATACAGGTAACAAGTGTTTACAAAAATATAGATCCGTTTAGACAATTTGACAAGTCTTTATGCAAAAACAAAGAGACTTAAGGTTTGATAGTTGAGGAAATATTTGACAATAAGTTGCGCCATGAAATTCTGACCTCACTATAGTGTGTGTAGAGTGTAAGATCGTGTTTATTACAACTCGTTTTTTATAACAACGTCGAGAAAAATGGACGAAAGCATTTATTCACGCAGTTGAAAAAAGAAAATGCCTTTATGACAAGGGTGATTAATCTACAGCAACAGAAATTCGATAATAAATGCTGAGAGTAAAATAGTTGGCTTCATAGTATTTCATCCATTAGATCTCCCCACTTTTTGTCTTTGATTTATTCTATGCACCTAATATCGACATCAGGCTCGTCACTGTTTATGCAACCATGATAACATTAACCATTGAAAAACACCTTTGTCAATTGATCTAGATCTACTGAAAAGTTTTAATGACCGAGCTTCCACTCCGTTTGCACCAGGCATCTTAGGAGCATCGGGTTATCAAGTAATCAAAAAGATGCTTTGAAAAATCCAGTAAGGCGCATCCCCTCTGTCTATACCCAAACAAATTCAGCAATTCTGTCGAAGGTTGAAAAAGCTGATTGGCATCATGAATTTACAGATTTTATCTTGTAAAAGAGAAATGCACATTTAATTAGATTAGACTTTTTTTTAGTAAAGAAATAAATCTACACCATTCTTTTCTTCCAGTAACAGTGCTAAGAATATAAGTCCTTAATTGGAATAAGGTACAATATCAGCATTCATTTACCGCACTAAATAACTGCAACTCTCACACCTTGTTCTGAGGTCTCCACTTTGGGAATTACACTGAAAAAATTATGCAATTTAACCACAGAAAATGAAAGTTAAATGGAAAAGTTGATAAAATTTGTCAATAGAAAGAGATGGGGCCTGTAGCTTAAAATTTGGTAAAAACCCAACTTTAAATACTCCTAATATTATACAGCTTCTCAATTTATTAAAAAAGTAATGTATGGTACCTTTATTTAACACATGTAGAATGTTCTGAAACAGATGCATTTCAGACAATTTGTTACAAGAGAAAATGTAAACTAAAACATTTTTCCACTTCTGTTCTTAGAACTGAGTTATCTAACATAGCATGTTAGGTAGCTAAAAATGAAAACAGAGAAAAACCCAACATATTTGTAATCCATTTTTTTGCCAGACAAAATTACAGAACTTGGATATATAAAAATCTATTATAATCGGTTCTACAGGAATGATCTAAAATCAACAGTGAGTCACTTTGGGAAGAACATTGATTGTAAAACAATTTATAAAGCAGTTTCATTTAAACATACATTAATAACAATAATTATATTTACAAAATTATCCAATATCTTTACTGAGGAAACAAAACACAGAGATTTCACTGATCAAAACATGAAACGAGCTGCCCTATATTGATATTTTTGAGTTCAAAATTCTTTACACCATGTTGACCTTTTGTATTCTTTCCACAAGAAGACTGACACTGCTGTTGTTTTTCAATATGGCCACAGCTTGGTTGTGCTCGATGTTCCGGAAATCCATCTTGTTAGCCTAGGATGAAAAAAAGCAACAACCAAAAAGTATTTTTTAAAGTGTTTCACAGAATTATAACAGGGTGCAAGCATAACATTTGCAGAGAAAAGGCCATAAAAAAAGCAAACGAGTAAAATTAAAATTAAATCAAGAGCAATAAAATGAGTACGGTACCAATGCTTCTGATCAGCAGCTGATATAGGGCCTACATGTGTTGAGAACTCCAAAACGTGTAAATATGTATACACACAAACACACACACATATACACGTACACACACACACACACACACACACACACACACACACACACACACACACACACACACACACACACACACACACACACACACACACACACACACACACACACACACACACAATGACATATATATATATATATATATATATATAAATATATATATATATATATATATATATATATATATACATACACAAAAAACACACACACATACACACACATATATACACATGCATGCATTCCTCACTTTTTTAAACACAATAATAGCAAGCCTATATGGTCATACATATTATTTATTCTACCTACAGATACTTCAAAAACAAACGAAAAAAACAAGAAGACATATTATATAAGTAACAGGTATGTAGGGAGATGTGTTAAAAAACAAAAAAAACTCACCTCTAACAATTTGTCTCCAGGCCGTAATGTCTGTGCAGCTGGACCATTTGGAATCACTTTAGTGACAAAGATTCCCTGTAAAACAAAAAGCGCTTCAGTCACAATCAGATAAATAGGCCATGATTGATAGACTCGTTAAAGTTCAGGATGGAAATCTGAGTTTACCTGAATTAATTTTTATCTGTCATTCTGGAATATTTCTTCTCCACATGTAGTTTTCTACCTGTATCAAAATGCTCTGACTTTACAAAAGCCTAAATTCTGACTGTATGGACAGGCAGATTCGGCAAAAATAAAAGACTGATTCAATTAGGAACAGTTCTTTAACAATGTTATAAAAGAAAATGCCTTGCTTACTTGAAAAACATAAAGTAAAGAACATGGCGTAAGAAATGATAACATTATTACGTTACTCTATTGAAAAGATATACATGTATAAAGACAATAAGGCCTACACAAAAAATGTACACGACGAAAATGCTCTCCGTAGGCCTATGTAAGTAAGCTTTCCTATAATTCACTTCTTTTTTTACATCCTAACTCAAGACAATTACATCAAGTTAAAAGTGGTCAGAGCTTTTTGGTGTGAAGTGAACTGCAGCTCTTTTCCTTTGACTAGTTCATGTAACTTTGATAAATCTGATTAAAGGCATTACCCTGGTGACATCAAGTCAATTTATGAAGCCGGCTGCTTTAACTAATCCATTCGGGCCAGAGTAACAATTTAAAAAAGAAAAAAATCCAACAAATTTCTCAAACGGAAATAAAACTTATGGTTTTTGCGTCCAAGCCGAAGAACTTAAAAATAAACCCAGCATAATTACAGTTCCGGAGGTATCAATTCAAATACTAAAAATCGTGAACCATGTTTACTGCGTTTCATTAGTGCACAATAATATCAAGCTCAAAAATGAGTTGCAGCAAGAGAAGCACATTTCAGTCGAAAGAGGTGGGTCATCCGCGCAAATGAAAAGTACGAAAGATGGGAAAAAAAAGGACGAAAGAGTAGAATGTGCAACATATATGGTAATTCTATTTTGGTTTTTTGTGTTTTAGTTTTAGTAAACAGCACTTGCAATACATAAGAATATAATATAAGTTCCGAAGATCAGAGGTGTTGCAAGAGAGTAATACAGACAAAAAAGGAGGGGGAGAGATTAGGACAATAGATGTTTGATAGGAAAGAAGGAGCAAACCACACCAGAGCACTGACCAACCAAGGTCATATTGAAGGTGGGCCTTACACTGTGGAGTTTTGGAGGTCAGTTTTTTTAAAGGTTTTGTTTTGTTTAATATTAGTTTATCTAAATTTATTTGATTTTACTTTATTTTAATAATTTTTAAATCTTATTTAATTCCATTCTTTTTTTTCAACACAGCAGCCGCAGTTAAAACACCAGCGAGAATAAAAGAAATGCTGGACAGAGGACAACGAAGAAATTATGGAGAACAGATGTCACCCTACATGTACCAGAGAGGTGGCAGCGTTATCACTCTTTCTTCTTCTATTCAATTATATAATGAAAGCTTGAATAACACAACTGTGATTGCCAAAACACTTGTTGGCTCATTCAAGCCTGTCTTACCTTATCATTTGGTCTGTATGGGTTACCATGGGAACCAGAGCCTCCAGCTATTGAGAAACCAAGACCAGGATTCTTCTTGATGGTGACTCGGAACTGAAAGGGAAAATTACTTTGTATGAAAGATGCATGAGTACAATGGCTGTTGTTACACAAGCGTTTTTTTCCACACTATACCAAGCACAACACAGGGTCTAGAATGGATACTTAATCTCTAGACTGGCAGTGACAGATAATTGGGGAAATGAACGAGGCTTAACAGATGGGTCAGGAATTAAGGGATTACATAAAATGACAGTAAACATTTTTTCCCTAAAACCAAAAATTCCAGAAAGAATAAAAGTTTCCTTCCTTTGTTAGGAGTTCTGTACTGCTGAAAATGGTGGTACACATAATCTTCACCATCCGAATATTAGTTACTTCATTTCTGCAACTGTAATAAATAATATGCCAGCTTGGTATCTGACAGCATGTATGGAATGGAAATGCTTGGAAAATGTGACATTTTCAATAAATTAAACAAATTTTGAACGGTATGGCTTTAAAAACAATTATAGACAACGGTCATTTGAAAGTAGTGAGTCTTATAACACCGTTGATGTTGTTTCACCATGAAAATAAAAATATATATTGCGAGGTAGGTGGTTGATAAAAATATGATGCGGTACAGGTTTAATACCCCTATAAACATCATTAAGTTATTCAAAGGCATGATCTCTGACTTTCAAGTCCACCACCAAAGGACCAAGCCAAATACAACATATTTGTATAAAGTGCCACTCCCAAGGACACAACGTCAAACTGAGCTGAGGCTTGAACCCTGGAACCCACAATTTCACGATTATGGATACAGTGTAGCCTAACCACTAGGCTACCAACATCACCTATCTGGTTAAGAAAACAATAGCTTTGAAACAAGCTCTATTATTACAAATGAAAAGTCCCTTTTCATGAAACAAACCAAAAATGTCTCAAAATGAACTAAATGGATATAATTTTAAAAAAGTAACAACAATTATAGTGAACAGGAACTGTCTGTTTGAGTAAAGACAAGTGTAACGACACACCAGTGATCATGTGTAGTGCTGGAAATGGTAAGGCTGACAGACAGAAACAACAGAGGAAAGAAAAGAAGTATGACCCATCAGTGGCACCCTCCAATCACCCATGTAGACCAAAAAAAAGCACAAGAATACCAAAAGACAAAAGTTAGGACTCCTCCATTTAAGTAAAGTACAGAATCAGAAATGATATGAGCAATAATCCAGAATAAGGACAGATAAATACACCACCAGCAACAACTCCCACACCCATCCCAGTTATCAGCATCCACATTATCAACAAGTGAAACCTTAATAAACTTGAATTTGAGTTAGAGTAAATAGAAACATAGTCATTGCCGTTTATTGAAAGCGGAAAAGTTAGACAAATAGAAACAACATATCGGAAGAAAAGAAGGACCTACTACCTTTTACCAACTGCTTCCCCAAAACAAAACACTACATTAACACTATCCACCCACGCAGAGCATAGAGCGCACAACACTTATCCCCTCGGACCAGGATACAGGTGCGGTACATGCTATATCACAAAGTTGCCAATCAGCGTCCCGTGGAAAAATGGGACAGCTTCTTACCGATGTTGATCGGCATCCCCTGGGGGCAAAGTGTTAACATTCTCGCATATTTGTCAATTATTACGTCATATAGGTCTTACAAATAGACATAAGAAATACCTTAATCTTTTCAAAAATTCCATCACAATAGCAGCAGCAATAATAACAACTCAAACACAACAACAACAATAACCTACAGCATCAGTGTCAACAACAAGAATGAAGCAAAGAAAAACCATGCATTCTTTACATGAAATGTGACAGTTTGATGTGTGCACAAAAAGTAGAGAAAGTATTCACCTCATCCCTGTGATCCTGAGATGTGGTGGAATCTGGTATCACATGATCCTTGATGGGTGTTGACTCTCGAGATGGTGGATTCCCTGTAGTGTGATGTCGTACTGGCGTCTGTCTCTGTGAGGGAGGTGTTGATGTAGCTCCTGAACTATGGGAGCCTGGTCCACCTCTGGAAGCAAACCCCTCCCCCCTAGCATTAACTAAGTCACCAATCCGTTCATACACATGCTGTCCATGGCCATACCCACTGTCAGTTGAACTGGAAACTTGAGACGATTGTTCTTGATTGGTAATCATAGTCAAATCTTCATAGTTCGGACTTTCAAATGAAACATGAGCCCCCGTGGCTGGGTCAAAGGTGACACGACCTCCATGTTGAGAATTTCGTCGCGTTGACCCATAGACACTTTCAGGTCGAGGTGAATCTTGTGAAGAAGAGTGAGCGTGGAAATCACTAGTCCTGGACTCCGATGAGTTTGAACGGTCTCTCACCATGATGCCACCTCCACCCCCAGTTGCACCACCCCGGGAGTGGTAACCTATACCAATCTGAGACGCAGAACCAATCTGCGATGAGCTGCTACCTGATCTGCTGGTCTGGTTGTCATGGTAACCCGCTAAGCTGCCACCAGCTGCGAGATGGACCGACTCATTACTATGATGGGGTCCACGGCTCCTTCGGTCAAAGTCAGCATAGTCTGAGTAGGACAATTTCTCCCGAGGCGTGGCTGGGAGGTCAGAGTATGGATTGCTGCCATGGAAACCACACGGGGATGACTGAGAGCGGTTGATGTTTGGGACAGATCCCACAGGAGGAGGGGGAGTGTGGAGGCATTGCTGCTGGGGTTCGGCGATGGCCATGGCTGCCATTTGCTGCGTAACTGACGCTGGGAGGGTGGTGTGGGGGGAGTCCACTCGACTAGAGGAAGAGTTGCTTGAGAGGGGCTCGCTACGGGGTGTTACACTTCCGCCAGGGTCCATTGATTTTCTGTAGGGTGGGGCTGGCTGGTATGGTGGGGGTGATGGTGAAGGCATGCTGGTGCGAGCTGACATGTGACTAGGCTGGGGATGGAAGAACAGAAAATTAGGGGGGAAAACAAAACAAATCAGCCTTCTGAATATGGGTACTGCAATGATACCTGACTAAATGGATGTAAACAAGGAAAGCATGATGCACACTGTAAACATAGATGACACTTAAACTTTGCTTAACATTACAACACAGAGAACACTAATCACCTCTCAACTATGAAAAGTTCTTACATTGCTCTCTCACCCCTCCCCCTTTCAAAGAAAAAAAACACCCCCAAAGAAACACAAAAAAAGAGGGGAAAAAACCCCCCAAAACCAAAAAAAATGAACAAAAGAAAACACAACAAAAACACTACAGAAAGAAAACTATAATGCATGACTTATTTCCCTCAACTGGGCCTTCTGTCCGCTTTCCCAACAATATAATCGAGGGCTACAATTTCTCTTGTGAGCGGAACACTAATAGTTTGAAAAATAGAACCAAAAAATTTTGAAATTGATATTGACTAGGTATCTCTAAAAAAAAAAAAAGGAGCAGTTTCTTAATGTGATCTAAGCAGTTCAGTAATGCAACAAGGACTACAAGTTTTTGTGCTGAAAGAATTAATATAATATTAAAAGAAAGTGCATAAACTGCTTCTGCCATATCTTGGGAGTTGGATACAAGGTAAAATAAAACAAGACCTTTTTGTTTGAAAAACTCTCAATGAAGGAGATGGCCAAACATCATCTTAGTTAGTTTAGTATGGGGTTTTACGGCGCTCACAACTGCATAACCAAACATCATCATTGTGAAGACAAAATTTATGTGAATACGGCTTACCAAGAGTTTGTGGGGACCACCACGCTCTTCTAATACTGTATACAGCCCGCTAGCCCGTCGCTCTCTGCCCGGAGTTAAATTGGGATTCACTGCAGCAGAGTTGAGAGAAACAGGTGCTTGGCTTGTCACTGGTGTGCTCTGGTCCAGGAAACTGTCTTTTTGAAACACAGGCGTGGATGGGGAAGGGGTCTGGGGAGGTGCGGACAAGGACTGATTGCTCCCACCCATACTTTGAAGGGTTGGCTTTGGAGCGACCGTAGGTTTCAGATTCTGACCTTGTCGGTTTTGTGATGAAGGGTCAAGGTTCAGAGCCCGCTGGTGGAAGGGTGAACCAGGAGCAATCTGGTTTTGAGCATGTGAGTTTGGGTGTTGAGACCCCTGTTGTGGTCTCCAACCATTGTTGGTCTGAACAGATGCAAGTGACTGAACATCTTTTTCCTCAGCTGACAGTCTTTCATTTGAATCACTGCTCCTGAATTGAACCTTTAACAGAGATTCATTGCCATGTGGAGATTTGTAGAACTCGTCATTTGAAACAGTACTGTTAGCATCAAAAGTAGAGTTTACGTTATGTCCCCTCATGTAGTTTAGTTGGTAATCACTGTTGGGTCTGCTGCTGTAATTGGGATGATGTGGTTCTGATTTTGATGGTGAATCGGGACGGAAATTTCTTGATGCTCGAGGAGTATTGTACGGTGATGGTGATGTTCTGTTGAGGTTAAAGGGCATGCTTTGAGCAGAGTTTTGACTGAGCTGACACTGTTGCTGCTGCTGTGATTGAGAGGGTGGGGGACCTTGCTGCCGTTTCTGCAGAAATGCTGCTGCTGCTTCATTGGCAGTGCCAAACACGCCGGCACTGTATGACTCCAAATCACTAGCGTAACCTACACCACTGCCATCTTTTCTTCTGTGCCGGTGGTTACGATAACTATGTGGAAGTGGCTGCGAGCGCACAGACATAACATCAGAGTTAGCCCCCTTGCTAGAATCATCACCTGCTTCTCTCTTAAAGTGGACAATCTCTCTGTCACTGCGATACCCCGTGTCTGAGTCATAGTCCCTCATACGGCGGGATCTGTGGCCTCTGCGTCGAGAAACTATTTGGTTATAGTAGAGGTCCTCAAAAGGGATAAATGCTGGCACAGAGGTGGGGGCAATCTCAGGATCATCGGCCGTCTCATCGTCAGCTAAGCCTCTGTTGAGGTCTGGGACCGACCCTGAACGTCGAGAAATGGCACCCTCAGGAGATTTCCCTGAGAAACACAAAGTTTTTATTTTTAGTAGAGGTTTTACGGCGCTCGCAACAGCATAAGGTCCTATGAGCCCCAGAAGATTAGAGGTGTTACAAGAGAGTAACAAACATAAAAAAGAAGAAGGGGAGATAAGGACGATAGATGTTTCATAGGAAAGAAGAAGCAAACCACACCAGAGCACCCACCAACCACCACAGAAACACAAATACAGCAAGATATGGTACAGTAAATATATCAAGAAAGCACCACCCTGTTCATTCCTTGTGGAATATCGGCGTGAAAAGAGAGCACATATAATATAATATACACATTGTTTACTCTTATTCATGGCTCAGACACGCACTCTTGACACTGGACTGACTCTTCACTTATATGTAAAGAAATCAACATGATAATAAATAGATAACATTATTTGTATAGAGCACATTCCCGCTCAACAGTAAGCTCTGGGTGCTTTACAATCAATTTGAATGAATGATATACTATTACCCCAGCAGACCTAATGATAGCATTTTGAAACAATCTCAACTTCCTGGAAGTCTACAGTGCTAGCTGCCATTTTTAAAGGTCCTAAAACACTAACATATAATATATAGACTACATTTTTCCCTATCTATGGCTTGGTACCCATTCCCACCTGGTTGAAGTGAGGAAAATTCATGTAAAGTTCCTTTCCCAAGGAGGCAATGGCAGGCTTAAGGTTTGAGCCCCCGAGCTTGAAACCTCACGACGACGAGTCATGGTTATTACAACATGATAACAGTTTTGTACTGTAAATATACAGTGGCAGACTACCACAGCGTGCAGCGTACAGTTTTTTTATTACGATATTTTTGATTTTTTAAAATGCTGCCTCCTTTCTTCTGGACCTCTGTCAACTTTCTTATTACAGTCAAATAATATGCTTTTTATTTTAGTTTTGGCAAGAATTTCACAGTAGGCCTACTTGCAACACAAATAAGTTATATAAAAGTGCTGAAGATTAGAGTTCTTATTAGAGTAACACACCAAGAAAAGAAGGAGGAGAGATGTATGAGAGACAGAACCTGTGAAAACTTGAATACATGAATACATTGACACTGCAAACCTCCCCCCCTCCCAAAAAAACAAAACAAAAAAAAACAAAACAAAAAAAAACAAAAAAATATGCAAAGGGTGGGGATTCTGAGCTAGAGTCCAAAGACACACCCCATTAAGCACCCACCTAAAAATTGCTTTACTGATATGCTTGACTTTCCTTGTATACCTGTCATTGTTATCCGAATGACTACAGAGGCCCCAGCGCTCGTACATCATGACAGCAGAAAGACCTTTAGAATTAAGAGGTTCTAAACATTCTTATTGTCAGCCAGATGTCCAGAGGTACTAAAAGTCCAATATTGGTTGCTTGTACTTGAGGCATACTTTATTGAAATTCAAATTATAAATGTTGAACTACAGCAAGGAGATAATAATGTAGGAGCAATTGTTGAGAAAATGAAACAGTTTTCTATCTCTCCTGAAAAAGTTTACTTTCTGGACTTACAACACTTAAGCAGTTTTTTGACGTTATACTTAAAGCCCACGTTTAATAAAAACCTTTCTAAAGGTCATCTTTCTATTCAGATGAAGCTATATAATCAAGATCATAGTCTATGTCATCTTTGAGGGTGCTTCTGACCAGTTATATTTTCCTGATAACCTCTTTCTTACAAAGAGTCAGAAACAAATGTAGGCCTACCGGTATCGAAATAATCAACTGAAAATGTCAGTGAGATGGAAACTTTCGTAGGCAAGGCAGGGATTTACTGCCTAGCGGTAGCTCACCAGTTCAATAAACCCTGAGCTGGAGTGAAACATATCTCGTCCACAAACATACTTAAAAGTGGTCAGTTCAGTATTGCTGGACTTTTCATGCGAGTGGCATTGACCGACTCACAGGCACATTTTGCTGTCATAACACTCTGTATCTTTTTTTAGGATGAAGATAATATAATATTATTTATCACACTTCAGAAGAAAAGGTAGGCAGACACCTATGCCATGCTGTACTTTATAAAGAAAGTTTTTAGTTTAAGCTGTGAGGGCAGAAACTAAGAAATATGAAGTCTCATGAAAAGTATGCAACATTTGGTGCACAACTTGGGGGTCCTTGCACAAACTTAACTGTCTTTGTCATTATTATCGAGAGCTTTCAGGTGCAATGATGCAGTAGCTGATATTCCTAACAACAGGCTTCCTTACTTTTCTTTTCCTTTCCCCGCTCCTCCTTCAACAGTGCGCTGACATCAGACTCAAGATCGGGGATTGACAACCGATGCTGCATCCGAGCCTTGTCTTTTAAGATCTTTTCCTGGAATAGAGACGGATTGAAAATGAATAATCTTGGCAAATACAAATTTTAATGTGAACCTCATTTGTTTATAATACGGAAAAGGATATCGTATACATACATCAGGCTTCACGATTTCAAAGTAAAGGAAAGTGCATGCATATATATCATAAAATAAGGCTGAATACATTGTGCAATTGATTTGTATTTTAAAACATTCATTATTTCGAAAAGCAGATGATAAAAACACATTTATTGCTAATTCAAACTGCCAGTTATGTAATGGATGATGATACTACTACATGTAAAGAGCCTTTGACATTACTTCCCTTTGGTTGCTTTTTAATTTAGATTCAAATCCACTCAAAATCCAGTAAGTCCGTTTTACATTGTTATTAAGATGCTTTAATCCAATCTCATACTGAAATGCTTCTTTCTAAAACATATTTAACTTCAGTTACATATTCAGAGCTGCATAAAAATCCTCATCACTCTGAAACAGAAAATGCTTCAGTTCCACTTTTTACCGATATGTACCAACATGTTTTTATAGTACCCCAAACTATGGTTTCAACTAAATAATAACCATACTTTGTCATATCTGTACAATCGATGGGACTCTTGGAAAGTAGGAGACGTTGGCTTTGTGATTCTTGCTTCTCTCATGCGGACATCCGGATGATTTGGGACTCGACTGTAGCCAGAGCCTGATTGCCCATCCTGTTAGCAAAACACACCATACAAGTTTGTTTTCATCGAATACTAGAAAATTTAAGAACTTGTTGTTACTGTTTTAAGGAGCATAAAAGGTAACGAAGAGAGGCCAGCAATGGAAAGACGGAGTGAGAAACACAGAGACAGCCATGCATGGCAAAACTCACAGCGAGGAAAATCGAGGCATTTTGAAATCAAAATCATTTGGCCTGTGTGAAATTTCCTTTAAAAAAGACACAAAAATGAGCACACAGGTTTAAAACTATAAATAATGTCCCTTAACACTTTGCAGTCACACGCGAGCAGTGCAAAATATACTCCATCTCGTCACCAAGTCAGGAGAGTGACTGCAACCGACTTCTCGGGCCTGGCACTGTGACCGGAACGAAGTGATCGCAAAGTGTTAAATAAATGGCAATAAGTGTTTTGCCCCAATGCCCCAAATAAATAGAGAGTATAAATGAGAAAACTGTTCTAGTCTCTGTACTTTTATCTCATCAAAATTTATTATGAAAATCATTACTTTTTATTTTACTTTTCTGATCCAGCGGCCATTTGAGTTCAAGCCCTTAGGCCTGATAAAAATCATTAAAAGCCCAAACAGCTTCAGAGAAGTCCTAACTGCTGGTTGGATATGTGCAGTGCCTACAATTGTTGCACCTGCAAGCGTATTGAGAGTTAAGAGGAAGGGTGGAGTGGATTTTTTTGGGTAGATCTAAGTGTTTTACAGCACTCGCAACTGCATAAGGTTATATGAGCGAGCAGGACACATTAAACATTATTCAGTCAATTAGGAATCCATTTTTTGAATTTTGCCCCAGTGGTGGCCAAAGCCTACTCTTATCGATTTTGGACCACCAAGGTATCTTTAATAAGCACCACTTGTACATGGGACCTCCGAGATTTTTCACCCTTATCCGAGAAGGCTAGGTGTAGATCATTCCAAACATAACATCAGGGGTGTGACTGAAAGACAGCAGTAAGATGGAGCGAAGGAGGAGTTGAAGAGAGGCTGCAGAAAAAGTCAGGAGATCAGAGGAAGGGCAAAAGGGAGTGGGGGTGGGGGGGCAGAAAGTGGAAATGAAAGCAGGTAACACGGCGGGGTTAGAGAGCAAGGATAAGGAGGTGAAAAGAGAAAATTTTAGAGAAGAACATTTTCTGTCGCTGTCAGGTTTTGAACCCAGTACCTATTGAACGAGAGGCGAACACCCTGACCTCTAGACCATGAAAGCCCCTAGGTGGAGTGTGGGGAGAGGAGGGAGGGGGGATGGGATTTTTGGTTAAGTGGTGTAGAACAAAAGGCTATAATATAGGAAATCAGTCCAGGATAATAATATATAGGCTACTATACGTCAAAGAGACAGATAGATAAACAGCTCAGAAAATAATTTGATCATTCTTACGAGAAGGCTAAGAAAATAAGATTAGGTGAGTTGGGATGGGTTGTAGTAGTAGTATACAAGACAGTTCAATACAGCTCAAACGATTCTTGTTTGAGTAAGAAGCATATTGACGAAATAATAGTTATTTAGTGCTCGGAAAAAGTAAGACAGACATGCAGGCAGACAGAAACAAAAAGACAGGAAGCATAGAAGCCTGATGCCTGAAACAAGTTAGGAAAATAGTAACACTGACAAAAGGCTTAAAACATGTGGCAGACCACACCAGAGAATCTGAAAAAGAGAAAGAAAGGGGGGAAAAATAACAAGAACAGTAGTAGTCTTAGTAGAGGTTTTACGGTGATCGCAACTGCATAAGGTTATATGAGTGCCAGAAGATTAGAGGTGTTACAAGAGAGTAACAAACAAAAAAAGGAGAAGGGGAGATAAGAACGATAGATGTTTCATAGGAAAGAAGAAGCAGAAGACCACATCAGAACACCCACCAACCACCCACAAATAACAAGAACAGAACAATGATAACAATGAGGATAAAGTAGAAAAAAAAGACAGAAAAGAGATAAAGGAGGCAGCGTAAAGCAGCAGCAGCAGCAGCAGCAGCAGCAGCAGGAGGAGGAGGACGAGGAGGAGGAGGAGGAGGAGAAGAAGAAGAAATGATTCTTTCTACTCTCTACCTTCTCATCTCTCCGTGAATTTCTCTCTCCCCTGTCAGGGTTATCTCCCATGCTGTCCTCAGCCTGTCCATCAGACACACCAACCATTTGCCTCATCGCCAGATTGCGAGCATGCCTCACCTTCTCTCGCATTTCTTTTGGGTAAGGTGTCGGGCATCGGACTAGCGTTCCCTGTTGTTAGTAATGGTCATGAATTATTTCAAGAACATTGTTATGCGTTTTTAGTCCGAAAATGTGTTAAAGTTCAACACGTACTTTTGTCAGAGCACAGATAACACTCCTTATAAAAAGTTTTGTTTTATCAAATCCCTTTAAATTAATATATTATATCTACAGCTCTGTTGAATAAAACTGTAAGGACCGACAGTGTTTTAAGTTTCTTGAGTTTGAGCAGGGGAGTAATGAGACAGAAACTCGATCACAATTCAAATTTTCTCTTCAAAATCACAAACCCTTTATGATGTTTAAAAAAAGACAACTACAGACTGTTACTGTGCACGCATTTCCCGCTTCTGTGAGTTTAAGTCAATTTTTGCAATTAAAAAACTACTCACAATCTTGAACTTGTTTAAAATGTATTTGAACAAATGAATTGCACTATATTATGTTCATGGAGAAGAATTGTTCTGATTGATGTATTTAGATGAAGATGCTTTTTTGTTACAAGAAGTGTTCAGAGTTAAGACCTTTAATTAACAACCCCCCCCCAAAAAAAATAAAGAAATAAACAAACAAAAAACAACAACCCAAAAAATTGTGCGAGAGAATAAAAAAAGTTTTGTTATTTTAAATACATTTCTCATGCAGGTAACAAGATTAATAAAACATGAATCGATTACCAAATACAGTATAACACAGATAGGTCAAACACAGAAGACTCGAAATTACACATCCGCTGAACTGTGCCTGCAGTCCCGTTTTCTTTTCTTCTGTATCTGTAAGATCTCTCTCGAACTACGGATCCTTCAAACTACCGCTGCCGGTCCCGATGAATTCGAGCTATCCGTGTTAATCCGTATCGACATCATATTGCACATGCAAAGAGCACAAACCTCTTCATCAGAGTCATCGGCAAAGTCAAAGTGGATCTGTTGTCTGCGCAGTCTTTCCTCATCCCACATGGAGGCGTGGAAACTCTCGTTGTCCCCTGCTGGGTCACGCTCGTCTAGAGAAGCAAAAGAAACACAGGAACAATTAGGTCAGGTGCTGTGTGTGCATGAGAATGAATGTGTGTGTGTATGAGTGCGTGAGTGTGTGTGTGTGTGTGTGTGTGTGTGTGTGTGTGTGGGTATGTATGTGTGTGTATGAGTCTACGAGTGTGAGTGTGAGTGTGGGTGTGAGTGTGTATGTGTGTGTATATGTGTGTGTGTGTGCGTGTGTGTGTTTGTGCAAAGGCAGGAACACATGAGTGTATGTATGTTCATGTGAGTGTTTGTGTGTGCAAGTCTGTGTGTATTATATGTATGTGTGTGTGAGTGTGTGTGTGTGTAAGTGTTTGTGTGTGCACATTTTGTGTCTATTGGAATAACACTACGATCACAGTTAAGAGTGAGTTTTGATTGCTTTACAAAAACCTTAACATCAAGCCAGGCTGTAATTAAAATATAGTAACAGTAGCACAACATAAAAATAATGTACATAATAGTTGAATCATGAAATGTTATTTTGTCTGCTGCAATTGTTACAAATAAAGCCACTTACCATTGGCCTTCATCTCTCCTTGAGGTAATAAATAGCATGTGAGAATTTTCCTTCCTGTGTCTGCTTCATACTCAGATTGAAGAGGGATGAGAGGACGAGTCTGAGGACAAATTATAATAATAGATAACATTTGTATAGCACAAATTCCCGCTCAATAGCAAGCTCTATGCACTTTACAATCTATATTATTACCCCAGCAGACCTGAAAGCATTTTGAAACTATCTTAACTTCTTGGGAAGCGTACATTATAAATATAGATCCATTTGTAAATACCTTAGATTAAAAAAGATTGAAAAATAACAATTTCTTTCTTCTTGCTCTCCTTTTTACCTCTAGATGTTAAAGAAATTGAAGAGTGGTATGTTCATATCATCAAACCTGAAAGCAAAGAGAGAGAGATAGAGAAATAGATAGAAAGAGATAGAGAGAGAGAGAGAGAGAGAGAGACAGTGAAGGGGCAAAGGAGAGGGAAAGAGGGAGAGGAAGGTATGGAGGGAGAGAGGGAGAGAGAGATAGAGAGAAGGAGAGAAAGAGTCAAGTCTATGTGAAAGAAGTGCATACAAACGATGTAAAATGAGGCCAAATTTTTTTATCCTGAGATAAAAAAAAGAGTCATCATTGCCAACAGTGGTGGTGGGTAGTGAAGGGCTTATGGGCTGTGTGTGTGTGTATGAGTGTGTTTGTGAGTGTGGGTGTGTGAGTAAGAGAGAGAGAAAGAGAGGGTGAAGGAAAGGGAGAGAGAAAGAGGGAAAGAGGTAGAGAGAGAGGTTGGCCCAGTACACACCTGGTTCTCGGTGAGCCACAAGGCCTGTAGCTCCTTCAGTTTGACAATGGAGAAGGGCAGATGTCGAAGAAGGTTGTCGCTCAGATTTAGAACACGTAGTCGAGGGATTCGACCCAGCTCATCTGGGATGTAGGTTAGTCGATTGCTTCGCAGAGATAATACTGTAATGCCACTGCAGCTGCCAAGCTGTAGAAGCAAAGGGTTCATATAATCAGTTTTGAAAGTTTATATCCCAGAACTTCCCCAATGTGTCCTTTCGTGTGACTATGCACATGAGACTGTGGATCATCACCTGCTCTACAGCACATCTCTAAATGACATCAGAGCTACACTTCTCCCTCTGAGACCTAATATTGACAACATACTATATGGAACATGACAGCAACTTCAGCTGCAAGCCTGCACTTTTCACTACATGGCACTGGACAGAAAGGTGAGGGCTGTTGCTGGATTGATAATAACAACACCAACAGTGAAAGTTTATGTCCCTATCGATACAAATAGCTTTGATTAACAAGAGGAACAAGGAGGAGGAGAGGCCACCAACAGAGAGGGGAGTGTTTGTTTAGTTTGGTAAGACTTTTACAGCGCTCCCAAATGCATAAGGTCATATCAATGTGTGTAAGGAGAATCTGTGAGCAGAATTTGGGGGTTTATTGCTGATTGCAACATGACCATGAAAAAGGCAGATTGAGACAGCTGGGTCCCACTGGACTGGTTGAGAGCACACGAGGGAAAAAGTCACAAACTGTAAGAGAACATGAAGCACATTCATTGACAATTATATAAGCTAATGCATCAAGTGTTATAACTACTGATTCATGAACACTAGACAGTGAAGTGTCCTTGGAGTAAATGAAAAAACCAATGTCAGTTAGTCTTTTAGCCACTCATTTTAAATAAAGTCCTCGCAGTCATTGTTCCAATTTTCTGCCTTTTCAAATACAGTGAAGTATAAGTTTAGCGAGTTATACATCCTTTGTGCAAAAGAATAAAAAAATCAAAATGGGAAATATCTAAAATATTCCTATTCTTTCAACAACACTGAAAGGGTTAGAAAATAAAATGGGTTTGATTCTCAAAAAATAATAATTTTTTTTTAACATAATAGTTTCACGGCACTTGCAACACAATAAGGTCATATAAGTGCTGAAGATTAGGTGTTACTAGGGAGTAACAAACACAAAACAGAAGTAGGAAAGATAAGGAAGATAGACATTTGATAGGAAAGAAGGAGCAAACCACACCAGAGCACCCCATCAACCACCCACAAAAAAAGAAATATTCCAAAAACTTAATGCCGATATCCCATGTAGGCGGCTACAATCATTAACTAAGCCAATGAATGCAATAATACTGATACAATAAAAAGGGATCAGAAAAGGCAGGATAAAGTTTAGTCATAAATCATTCACACATATGCCAAGCAATTCACGTTTACTTTCATGAACTTCAGAAACATGGAGACACATACCTCTGCCGGGACAAACTCAAGCAGATTCTCATCTGCATAAAATGTCCTCAAGTTTCTCAACAGTCCAATACTGGCGGGCAGGTCTTGCAAGTCATTTGTGTTGACGTTGAGCTCTGACAATGCTGCCAATCTACAAAGTTACAAAAATGAATATGAAGCTTAATTTGAAAAGAGAAAAAAATTAATAAAAGACATCATCATTTGTTCTTGAAGAGATTCGCTGTACGATGGTAAATACACAAACTTTTTGTTTTAATATGAATTTTAGTTTTAGTAGAGGTTTTACAGCGCTCGCAACTGCATAAGGTCATATGAGCGCCAGAAGATTAGAGGTGTTTCAAGAGAGTAACAAACATAAAAACGAAAAAGGGGAGATAAGGACGATAGATGTTTGATAGGAAAAAAGAATCAAACCACACCAGAGAACCCGCCAACCACCAACTAATATGAGTTTTACAGCACTTGCAACACAATAAGGTCATGTGCCGAAGATTAGAGAAGTTACAAGAGAGTAACAAACACAAAAAGGAAGGAGGAGAGATTAAAACAATAGATGTTTGATAGGAAAGAAGGAGCAGACCACACCAGAGCACCCGTCAACTACCCACAATACACAAACAGAATACAACACAAACTCCATTTAACTCAAGTACACAAACTTCTATACAGGTCTACTCATTGACACAGTGCAATACAGTTTTGTAAAGATTCAGACATACCCTAAAGACCATCAATCAAAAAGACATTTTTCTGACATAGCTTGACTTTGTTCGCAAGTCTTGGGTCACTAACATCTCCACTATGTTTTCTGTATTTAAACATTGACTGTAAGAAAACATATCTCTGGGTACCAGAGTACAAGGTACCGTCTCTTTTCTTTCAAGCAGCATCAAGCCAGGTTTGAAGGTACTTATTGTTTTCTTCAATTGACTAATGGTTTCACATTGGGAAAGGAGAACCAATTGTATCGCATTTGATGTTAGTTTAAGTCTGTATTTTTTCCCCTTATATTTCTGTCCCTGCAGAATTATGCAAATTTAGATGGCCAAATTATGCACAAAAAAAGCAAAATTAGGCAAAAATTATGCAAGTTACCGTAACACCATTCGTGACATGTTTTGCACTTTTTAAAAACAAGAGTGTTCATGTTTTAAGTACAGAAAAATTGAAAACAGAACATATCAGTATCAGTAATTTGTTGTGTATTTGGAAAGAAAACAATACACATCTGTCAGAAAAAAACAACCAAAAAATATAATCTCTGTAACTTTCAGTTATAGATCTAGATCTAAATCTATAGAGGAAAGAAAAATGTAAAAACAAAAAAAAAAACCCACAAAAAAAGGACATCTGGACCTCTGATGCTGGCACATCACTAAAACCAGGGACACTTGTCAAACATGAAACACCAGCAGACATGAGAACAACTTTTGATGGATAGAAAAATTTAACATGCTCAAGGAAAAAAATCCCTAACCCATAACCAAGATCATCGAAGAAGGGAAATAACCAACTTGCCACTTAAATGAGACTTATTACGTTGATTACTTCCTTTTACACACATGGTGAGGCGTTAATTTAATTGTTTTGTGAAAAAAGGAAAAAAACCCCGTAAAAAACGCGGTTGTTCCAAAATTATGCAAATGTTGCAGAATAACGCGAAAAAACACGGCCGCACAATCGCATAATCCGACGAGGACAGATATTTTCCATTCAGTTTTGCCCATTTTTCACCTCCATACTTTTTCTCTAATCCCTTGCATAATAAATGCATGTGGACACGTGATTTTGCGAGTGTGCAGATGATTGTGCGTATGTTTGTGTGCGTGTTATACATGTATATATATATATAT